CGGGACGGTGGAAGCGAGTGCGAGGGTGAAGACTGTGAGCATCACCGCGCATGTTAGCAGAATCGGTAGAGACTTCATAGTGTAGTTTTTGCTAGATGTGGAAAACAAAAGCGTTGAAAGCTGAAGAGAAGAGTCCAGTGACTGCTTAAGACTTCGAAGGGTACTCTTTTTCAAACGGATTGCTATAAGCGCTATTATAGGAAGTTGAAAACCAACTTGACCACGGAAAATAATGTTGTGATTATTTTGTGGACCCACTATAGTTCGAGAAGCCTACCAGAGGTAGGGATGGGAAATTTCCCATCCCCGCCGGGGGCTCGCCCCGCCCCTTTTATAGCGAGGATAGGGCTCTTTTTAGTTAAACGGGAATATAGATGGAAACAAATTATGAATCTTCGTCGGGGTCGGGGCCGAGGGCAGGGATGGAGTAAACCCGCTCCGATTAAGTATGAAATTACTAATATAACTTTACATATAATAATTTATTACTAAATTATATTTATTATATATATATGAAAATAAGAAAAAATGTGTTTTTTTTTTAATAAAAAAAAATTATGAGGTCGGGGCCGGGGGCGAGGCAGGGCGGGGACGGGGATAAGGTGTCGGTGGCGGGGGCGAGTATGGGGATTCTGGCAAAATTTTAAGCGGAGATGGGGGCGGGAATGGGAAATGAAAAATGCATCGGGGATGGGGATGGGGAATGGAATCCCCGCCCCACCCCGCCCCGTTGCCATCCCTAAATAGAGTCCCGAAAAGCTTTGGCATGTAAATCACTAAATGGACAAAATTCTCTCCTTTTTAGAACTCAATATATATATTTATGTGGCTCCCATTCTGGATAATAATGTGTTGCTGCTTAACTTTTTGTTTGGTTAAAAACTAAAAAGTATATAAATTTTTTCCTCTTTATTTTTTGGCCCACTATAGGTCCAGACTGGACAAGTCCTCCGATTTGGCCCAATAGCTCGAGAAGTTTTAGTTTATCTGGCCATAATGAAAACAACTCAATCGTGGGCAATGAAGACATTTTATATAACATATAATGAATCAATATCATAGCCATACTAATATATATATATATATATATATATATATATATATATATATAACCCACCAATGAAAAAAACAAATGAGCACATAACTCACCATTTACCGGAAAAGAAATGATCAAAGGACATTGATAGGAAAAATAAACCTAGTCTACATTGACGTAACGATAGAGGTAACTAATTGTTGACTAGTCATCAGACCTCTTCAACTTTCGAACGATGATATTTTCATTGGATAAGAATGATAATATTTCATTATCAAGGATAATGAAAGATGTCGTGATTCAACAAGGTAAGGACACAATTTGAAGAAGTCAAAAAGATTAAATCATACCCCCGACAAATCTGGTAACAAATGGATCTCCTCTGATCTCGCATAAGTGGATCTCCTCTGATCTCGCACAAGCGGATCTCTTCTGATCCTGCAAATGAACTGAGGGAGAACGACTATAAGAATGAGATCCTACCAATCAATAAAGGTACGATAAAAAAAAAATAAAAAATAAAAAACTATTATTAAATCCCTACCTTTTTTTTAGACCTCCGGTGATTGACTTGATCGTCAGAGAGTTTTTGGCAGGCACCATACCGATGCCGTCAAGATTCATTGATCTTGTACTCTCTTCTTTGCAGGAAAACGGTGTTGTATCGGACCGTGTAGATTTCACCCTCAACAGTTGGCGCCGTAAGTAGGAACGACGATTTCCTTAAATCAATTACTCGGTTGGGTATATGCACATGCAGTCCGATATGGTAACTCGAACAGAAACATCATTGCAGGGATCCAGTCAAAAAGAAAGGTCAGGTGAACACCCAAATGTCCCAAATGACCAGGAACGGCTTGCAGCGTTAGAACTACAAGTCCAAACTCTGAATCAGGGCATGGATCAGTTGATCCAACAAAATGCAGAGATCTTGCAACATCTTATCCCAGCGGGACCACCACCTCAACAAGAATTATCCGACCCATATCCTCCTAATCTGAATGATGGGGGACAACACGAGGAGGACCGAGAAAACAATCCTTCTCACAAGTTCGAGGCAGAACAAAGCCAAGTCGGAAACCAACACAGAGAACCTCCTTCCCCGCCTCTGCGAAATTCCCAGTCTCAAATAGGCACAACCTTCTGTGTTAAGGAAAAGACAGAGAAAATTACCTATTTCGACCTACAGATCAAGGATCTCAAGGCGAAAAATGGAAGATGTCATGCAGGCTATGAAAGGGAAAGTTTCTACCTCCATAGATGACCTGGTGCAGAAGACCAACTTACCGTTCAGCCTTGCCGTTATGAAATGCCCCCTGCCTAGCAAGTTCGGGATGCCCTTGTTCGAAAGCTTCGATGGGACCAAAGATCCCCTCGATCACCTGGAGACCTTTCAAGCTCTTATGCATTTACACGCCGTGCCAGATGAAATCATGTGCCGAACTTTTCCCACTACACTTAAGGGATCGGCAAGAGTTTGGTTCAATAAGCTAAAGCAAGGAACCATCAACACCTTCGAAGAACTGAGTAAGCAATTTGTGATCTACTTCATTACAGGTCAGAGGCATAGGAGGCCAGCCACCTACCTGCTTACCGTGAAGCAACAGAAGGAAGAGTCGATCCGGGAATACATCACCTGATTCAACACAGAGATGTTGCAGGTAGAAGAGGTGGACGACAAGGTGGCTTTGACCACCTTCATAGGAAGACTCCAAACCTCCAGATTCTTGTTCACATTATCTAAAGAACCTCCCACCAGCATGGCAGAATTGTTGATCAGAGCACAGAAACACATGAACGCAGCAGATGCCATGAATGCACGGAAGGGAAAGGAAGGAGAGGACAAGAAGAGGTCAGCCCCTCTTACCAGGGATGAAAATGATACCAGCTTTAAGAAATCATTCTTCAACCAAAGCGATAGGACATATCGTGAAGAGGACTCAGATAAGTATACCGACTAACAATTGTCTCATAGCTGGAATTAGCCTTATCAAGTCATTCAAAATAAAGACTGGGGGCATCTCAGTTCATCATTTTAAATGGAGTGTAGCTCCCTCACGTGTTATTTTGTTTCCAATAAAGTTACCATCACCAATGAGATGGATGACCCTCAATTTTTACGCAATAAAATATTACGTTTTCAGTTACCTATCTATGTGGTAATATTAAGCTCATAGTTATCTACTTATTTTATTAAATGGACGAAAGGCCAACTACACCTTATTAAAGGTTTTCTTATTAAAGGGACCAAGGGCCAACAACACATTCTTCCCTTATTAAAGGGACAAGAAGCTGACTACTCCTTCTACATAGAAAGGTGAGATAATTAAAATTTCCTTCATTTATTAGCGAGACGAGACGACTACCTCTCGTATTAAAGTGGTCACCCTCCTTCAGACTACATCTCTTTCCCCCATAAAGGAACGAAGGGTCAACTTCATCTTCTTCCCTCGGTAAAGAAACGAAGGGTTAACTACTCTTTTATTGAAGGGTGAGCTCACAACGCTCAAGCAAATCTACTTCCCTTATTAAAAGGGGTAAGAAAGAAATTATCAAGCATGCTTAGCTAAGTGGGACTTGGCATTCCCAACACTTGACAAAAATCTAATTCCCTTACTAAAGGGACGAGCTGAGTGAAGCTCGTAAAACCTAATTCCCTTACTAAAGTGACAAGCTAAGTGAAACTCGTAAAACCTAATTCCCTTACTAAAGGGACGAGCTTAGTGAAACTCGTAAAATTTAATTCTCTTACTAAAGGGACGAGCTCAGTGAAGCTCGTTCCTTAATTAAAGGAGTGACGAGTTGAGTGAAGCTCATAAAATTTATTCCCTCGCCAAAGGGATGGGCTGACTGAAACCCATGAAGTTTACAACTAGTATATTGGATTTTCAAAAGAAAAATCCAGTTTTACATCACTAAAAGTCATTGACCATGGGTTTGAATCCACGCCCTTCCAAAACAGAACCTTGATTTTGTATCTGTGTTAATTCCAACATAGGGAACCTCATCGTGGATTGGCATCCTCAATTCCTGTAACTTCCCTTCTTCAGGCTTCCTTTCTGAATTTAGAGTACATGACATCTTGGCTTCCAAAATTACAGCTACTTCTTCTCATCGTGGGTGTGTATCTGGTATATAGCGTCATGAATTTCAAGCCCAGAGAGGAAGGTTTGGTTGAGAAGAGTTGCAGAAAATGCCCACGTTATATATATATATATTCATAAATATAAATCATTGCCCACGTTCCCTTGATTTTCTGCAACTCCTCTCAACCAAACCTCTCTCTCTGGGCTTGAAATTCATGACGCCATGGACTCCATCTTTACTTACGGTAGTTACTTCATCGTGGGTTGAATTGATACATAAATATGTCTCCTTCCTTTTGGCAATATGGTTTGACTTGGCTAAACAATTGAAGTCTCCTAAAAATAAGGAGAGAATCAATCCCACGTTCTCCTTCTCGGTCAACTTTGGTCTTGCCATAATAGTAAAACCCTATTTTAAAAATCACGACAATGACTTTAAAAGGAACTAACATATCATGATCAAGACTATGGTAAGTTCAATAAAACTCGCCACGTATGGTAAGATTTATTCACCTAGGGAAAGGTAGGCCCTTGTTTTAAAGATGGCAAGTCCTAATTGGACTTGCCTCTTTACTTCAAGCAAAAATAGAAGTAGAATCCATACAGCAAACCATACTGGCCCCTTTGTAATATCATATAGCTTCTAATTCAATGAGCTGCGATCTAGCACTGGAACTTGCCACGTACTTCCTTCTTATCGGTAAACTCCAGCAATTCCATATTATGCTTCCTCTTTTAGATTTTTAAAAGAATTGATCCAATGTGGCAAGCTCATTAGAACTCGCCACATGTCGCCTTTCCATTGGGCCAAAATAATGGAGTAAAACACAATGCAGCAGCATCCTCACTGTGTAGATGATTTATAGAAGCATCCAATATTATGGTTGAGGTAACTATGTCATTGATCAAGATCATTAAAATTACAGACGAAAATACAATAACAGCAAGCGCATGGAGGCATGCCTTTAACATGAAGGATGTTTCCATTACTTGTACATTTTCGAGTGTTGTTTTTGTTCACACCGAGAGAGAAAATTACATATAGTGAACAAGAAAGCAAGAATGTATCTTAGAAATTACAGGATTTACTAACACCAACCAAAAATATCGAGCGCGATCAGTTCTTAGAGGCAGATTGAAAGATAAAAATCGCTGTCAGAACGCCCACCAACGCTGTAACTGCCAAGGCAACCGTTGGCAAGGGGGATACAAGCCCAAAATTCTGCAATCAAAATAAACATGGTTTAAAAAGATGGATGCCTCAAGTGTGCTGTTCTAGATCTTTGTGTCGTGAGAGAGAATAATTTCAGCAAAGAATTTCTTGAGACCACCCCCACACCCCCCCCCCCCCCCCCCCCCCCCCCCCCAACAAAAAAAAAGTCTAAAAAAACTGAATGAAGTTTTACATTGCAATATATATAATGACACATTCCAACTTCCAACTCACAATCAACAAATAATTCATTAAGACTTGGTCGGAGTCTTACAACTAAAGAACTAGTCAAACCACGCACTGATTGCTTTAACTTCAAAGTCCAAAAGTATCTGATCAACCGGTCTACTATTAAAGGGGAAAACCCAATTAAAATGGCAAGGGTGTACGGCCACTGTTAACTTGAAACATCCAGGCAGCAAATGATGTATTATGCCTCAGGTTCGAATGAGAGCAACAAATTGGGTTTAAAAAACCCGTCCAACATGGAAACATGCCAAAATTGTGTACCAATGAATTAAGAACCATTTAACTCATCTAAAATGGCATCCCAGCCATAGACAATGACCATTCAAGATGCCGGGGGAGTTCCAATCTCCATAATAAAGCCTCCTAAGCTTGAGGCCTTCCAACAATGGAGAGCAAACCAACTTTTTGTTGAAAGTTAGTATGAAAGCTGAAATAACGGGGAATACAGCTCATAAATTGTCTAAAACTTTTATCGAACATGATTTTTTTTTATTATCCTTAGCTATTCAACCTTTACTTTCATATACAAAAACCTTTTCATATCCTTTCAGATCACCACACATTGTGGTTTCTAAATGCAACCTTTACTCTCTCTCTCTCTCTCTCCCTCTTCCTGTTATGGGTTAGGGATTTTTTCACTGAAGAAGTTACCTATTAAAAAGAGAATGAGCGTACCAATTAATTTACAAATGTATCAAGTTAGCCTTATTTAAATCTAGTTCATATGCAACCCCAAAATCTGCAAGATAAGAGGGGAGAGCAAATAAAAACTCATCCTCATATTCATGTTTACCCTTCACGAATAAAAAACACGAGGACTTGAATATAATAATCTCTGTTGAGAAGACAAAAGTTTAATGTTTATAAATGTGCAAACTGCATGTCATAAAAATTGTTCTGCATGAGATGGGAAGAAGAGAAAATGTATTGAGTATCATATCAGTATTTGAAGTCTAAATAATTGTACTTGGAATAGTACAACAGGTTCATATGTACTTTATGTGCCATACCTCCAAGAGTCCTTTGCCTGTTGTTATTTCAACAGTAATAGCCACTGCAAAGCCAACCATTGCCGATCGACCTAGCCAGACATCCAAACTATTGCTATCTTTGGTACTTTGCTCACATTTTATGGAAACTGAAGTTGCTTTGGATACAAGCTTCTTTTGGTGAGACGTTCTCCATATCACTGGAAAAGATAGGAAGCATCAGCTCTCACTGTGCAAACTTATAGTTTCAATTAATGCTCCTTCAATTATAGAGATATGGAGGAAAATTTTCAATTATTAACAGTTTGGAACTATAACTAGAAATATTGAATTTCTAAAAGTAAATTTCTTCTCCTACGTGTTCCTAGCAATCAAACAGCTTGTAAGGAAACATAGAAAAGAAAACATAAACAGGTAGTGAAAGACATGTTCAATCATTTAAACTTAGATCAGAATTATGAGAAACTGATGCAAATTTTAATGGTGTCTGTAGAGGGTCATTAACGTTAAATCTTTTCAACATTTTGGACTTCATCTGATACCTGGGATAAAAAAACTAGAAGGAATAGAAGGTAGGACGGAAAAAGGTCTTGCTAGGGAAAGGATAGGGTTTTCTTTCGTTTTGTATTGTCAAATAGGAAAGGAGGAAGGAACGAAGATGGCATTGCATTCTTTTACCATTATACTCTTGTATAGTAAAGGAAGAGTCTTTTCAAGGATAAAAACATTAGACAGAAGCAGATCCATTTCCTCCCTCCTTCCCTCTTACTTTTGAGAGGAAAGAATATGGTGGAACCAGAAGGAAAGACCCCCCCTCCTCTCTTTTCCATTTTCTTCCCCTTTCCCTCTTAGCAAACCATAGAAATATCCTTCCTCCTGTTTTTATCTACTTCACATTCCCTCTCCCAATCTTCCCTCAGAACAGGCAATCCAACTCAAAACCTTATATACGAGAATACAAAGGTCATTGCCATATTGCTGAGCTTGTAAAAATGAATGACAGTTCTAAAGCTTGGTTTGGAAGAAGTGGTAGGCAATTAACCCACCCGGGCACCATATATATGAAACAAATAAATGAAAATGAAAGAACGTGAAGATAAAGAAGTAAAATAAACCAAATCTGATTGTCTTGAACCTGATAAGAAAAAGAATATTTATAAGGAAAAAATCACACATATATTGTCATGAAAACATTAATTTATCTAAAACCATATTGAATTGCTAAGAAGTTAGACGAAGACCATTGATTAAAAATAATGAGCATACTTGTGACAAGATGGATGTGAAGACTCGATAAATGAATCAAATATCAGTCAATTAGAGCAGGCCTCTGCATCATGCCAAATCACCAATTAATATTAGAAAATAAATAATGCTACATATATGGCATTAGAGGCAGCCGTATAAATACTTTTTGTCTTCTAAATCATTATAAAACAAGACACGATTTGCACAAATATAAGCTCAGACAACTCCAATTTATCTTTTGGTTCTGGTGAATGGAATTATCTCCTATTACTGTAGTCCTCATACCTTATATTAGTTAAGAATGTTTTTGATATTATAATGTTGTGGCAACATGTTTTGTTATGATAAAAAGCAAAAATAATGAATCTTCAATTACATAAAATTAATCTATTCACAAAACAATATGACTTGACACTACAGAAATGTAACCAGCTTTATCATTGCTGCAACAGTTCATATGCTTGAACGTTATGTATCTATTGATATACATGTATATATGCGTAATCCATATTGTGTGCGTATGTGTGATGGGGGGTACTTCTACCATAAGTAGGAAAAGGATTACACATGTATAATTTCATGAAAACACAATTCCCATGTATTTTCTAGACAGAAGTTCTACGGTAATTTAGTTCCTAATTCTATACAACTTAAACTAATGACATGGTGTGAGTAGTGTGCAAGTGAGTGCACATTAAATCTAATAGTTACTTTCAAATATTGCATGATTCGGAATGGGCATGTCATAATCCACAGTGTAGGGAATTTTTCCTGACGTAAGAAAGCATAGATCACTATATTAATCTTAGTGAAAAAAAAAATCATTGAGCTTGTACACCTTTAACTATGTTTTTTCCTATTATATGTGAATCCCATATTAGCAATGCTTAATGGGTTGTAGTATCTTCGTTGTATCATTAATCATTATAAATATGGGGATCGATTCTACTCAATCTCAACCGAGTTCAATTTTTTCAATTGGACTTAGCAGAATTTTTGCAGATTCTGAATATCAAGTGATAATATTAAAGACTGGTATGGTAGAAATATTATGTTTGTAGTCATAATAAGATGTATATAATTTGGCTCAAGATAAAGTCTTCATCTCAGATATTCCTATACACACAGGCAAGGTTTCTCTATCTACGCAACAACAACAACAATAATCAAGCCTTTTTTCCCAACTACTCGGGATCGGCTACATGAATCATATGTTTCTATTCCCCTCTATTTAAGTTCTCTATCTACACAAACTAATACTACTAACAAAGATGGGAAATGGATGCTCAAATTACATGGCCTATCCAAAGCTCTATCAATCAATGAATCTTGTGATAACTAAAATTGCAACATTACATTTCAATAAATAGATAAAGAATTAACTGAGTATTAGAGTTAGGAAACGCTTACACAGAGGAGAACCACTGGCAAAGGTTGTCCCAATTTGAGGGAAATTCAAAAGGGGAAGCCGAGGGATGAACTGGGTTCTTGCTGAATCCAAGAAACAAACATCTGCAACATATAAAATTAGTATATTTATACATTGTGAGAGTATTTATGCGATAGGGATTTCAAGAAATGTACAATTTAGAGTAAGAAACTTAGAGAGAGAGAGAGAGAGAGAGAGAGAGGGGATACCGCGGACGGAAGAGTAGAGAGAGGATGAAATTTGAAGAGCCATGGCTTCGAGTGACGACACACCTCCCAATTCCTATCTCTTCTATAGCGACCAGTCGTTTTGATACCAGAAACCACTTGTTCAACTTCTATCCGTTGCTGCATTTTATCAGCTTAATAGCGTCATTAAGATGGAAGCTGGATCTTTGCGCGTCTTTTTTCTTTGTGTGTACACTGTACTTACACAAACACAACAATTAACATCCACAACCTTGTGTTAAAAAAACAAAAAAACTATCCACAACCTTACCCAAAAATATATGTATAAAAAATAGAATAAAGAGTAAATTACAGGAACCTCCTTAAAATCACAAAACACCCTTTACTTTAAAATTTGGGTATAAAATTCTCAAGATAATTAAAAAAAAAAACTCTTGAAATAATAAAACTTATCAAAGTACCTCCAAATCAGTGATCAACTGGTTAAATAAGTTGTGAAATGTTAAATTTGACTTTACTATTTAATATTAAATTAAAATTTGACTTTACTATTTAATATTAAATTAAAATTTATAGTTATTATTTTAAAATTATAAAAATAATACTGGACGGGAAATGGGTCATCGATCACTAGAAAGATAACAATCCATCTAAATAATATTTTTATAAAGAGATATTTTATAATTTTAAAATAATAATTATAGGCTTTAATTTAATATGAAATAGCAATACCAAAGTTGACATTTAATAACTCATTTAAGGGTCGGTCACGAAATTGGGGATAATTTGATAAGTTTTGTTAGAGTTTTTTAATTTTTATTGAAGTTTTATATACAAATTTGAAAATAAATAAGAGTTTTATTATTTAAACCCTATATATAATGCTTGAATAACGTGATCTCTTCTTTAATTTTAAAAATAATACAGAGTGAACTAATATCTCTTGTCATAAAATCTATTAGAGTTGTTGGCTAATGTCATACCCAAAAAAAAAAAAAAAAAAAAAAAAAGGGCAGTATATCTTTGATAGCACTTTTACTCCTTATTTAAAAATGTATGCAAAAAAAACATCCTTATTATTTTCAATTTGTGCAAAAAATACCCCTCAATTAATATAATGTCCATTTTACCCTTTCACTCTTCCAAAAATACCCCTATCATACCGATCTTGTTTACGACAAGGTCTCAGAGGGAAAGGTGGAGGTTGTGGACAGTTAGGAAAAGGCTGCTTGAGAGGTATATGTTCACAAGGTTCGGTTGCGCAAAATCAAACCCAACCCATCACCGCCATTAACCCAAAAACCCGGTCCGAAGATTTGCAAATCAACCACCACCGGACTTGCGATTTTTTTATAAGTCTCTGTTCGTCGCTTTGACCATTGCCATAGGAAATCGCATCCCTCACCAGACCCATCAAGCTCACAGTCAATTTAGTTCTTCCTTGCCTGCCATTTCTCTCACCGCCGAGCCCCCCCTTACTTGCCGGTCGCCGTTCTGCGCTCTCTGCCGCGAACCATCCTTGTCACCACCGCTCGCCAGATCCATCAGTGCCGAGCACCTCCTTACGTCGGCTATACAAACCCGCTTGGGTCAAAACCGGTAAAGCCAGCAGGCCGATTCATGCTCACGCCGAAAAATCTGACCCACATATCTCCGACCGTAAGCTACGCGCTGCCGTAATCGGCGGCCCCGCCGGCTCCTTTGCGGCTGAGACCCTCACCGCCAGCGAGATCGAGACCTTCCTCTTCGAGACTTGAGTGCAACTCCACCGACGCCATACCTCTCTCCATGCTCAACGAGTTCTCCATCTCACAGGAGCTCATTGATCGGAAAGTGACCCACCATGTACCTCTCTCCATGCTTGACGAGTTCTCCATCCCACCGGCTCAACCGAGACCTGCTAGCGATCCCAATCGACATGTACCTCTCCCTCCCTCCCAGGCGACGTATATATATATGTCTGTGTGTATATATATATATATAATTTTTAAATTTACAATAAATTGAGGGATATTTTAGTCATTTCACAAAATATTTTATATATATATATATATAGTCTAATTTTTATAACTAGGATCTATTTGCATAATTTAGGAGTTTTTTTTTGCATGGGAGGGGTGTAATATGCACTGTTTTGCACTTGAACCCCCCCAAATTGAAAACCTAAATTTATCCTTAAATGTTTGAAAATATAATTTTTTGACACATTAAGTTAACGAATTGATGGATCACACACGTCGGTAACATTCTATATGAGAGAATCTTTCACCAAACAGACTCTTATTTTTAGAAAATCAAAACAAATGTTGGTCAAATTGCATGGAGTGACTGTCAGAGAACACATAATGAAAAGGATCTCGATTTAACCAGATAATTTAAAATGACATCCTATACATCTGGATTATAGTTATTTTGTACATCTTGATTATACTTGCGATGTCTGTTGTCCAATAAGTTAAATTTGGAGCTAGACTCAAATTGATTATATATATACTTGTGATGTCTGGCCAAACTTTCTCAGTAACCTGACAGTCTACAATGAATAATTTTTTTTTTTGTTTAAGTAATATATAAATCACTGTGCATACCATATATTATGTTCCATCAAAATCCAAAATACGAATGTGTCAAATTTGAGTGAATGTATCCAAACATTCAACACGAATTGTCATATTGAAGTTCCAAAAAAAATTGAAATGAAAATAAAAAATAGATAAGGAAGAACACTATGACCATTGTTAAAAGAGCAAATTGCATAAAACCCCCTCTAATTTTAATTTTTAGCAAAAAAACCTCTACAAAAAAAGTTGTCATAAAACCCCAAAGTATTTGGTTGTTGCAACACTGCCCCCTCAGTCTTTATGGGATGAAATTACCCCTCCCAACCATTTGAAGGTATTTTTTTTTTTCTTCCCCCTTTGTAGGTGCAGAATTTCGCTCAACCAATAATGATTGAGAAACATAAAACAACTCACTCAACAAACAATGAAAATAAACAAGAACAATACATAGAGAAGCGTAGAATTGCTTGATCGCTTTATTGGAGGTCTTAGCCTCTATTTATATACAAAAGATTGCAAAATTATGGTAGGACTCGCGTTGCTTGCCCTCCAATTCTTTCTATATAAACATTCTTTACTAATAGAGTTCTTTCCATTGTCGAATTTTCCATACATAGAACTTGCCTTGTACAGAATTTCCTATCTCAGAGTTTTCCTTCTACAGTAAATCCTTCAACTGGTAGGACTTGTGCATTCATGAATAACTGGGCTGAACATATTTTGATTCGACTGGGCTTGAGTAACAGGCCGGATGTTAAATATTAACAAGCTGGGCTGATGACTTCTTGATTCGGCCTTGATGGAGGTTGGAGGACAAATAACAATGGTCTTGGGCTGTAAATACCCTCAATTTGGGCTTGAGCATGATGGGCCTTATATGTCCTTGGAATGTAGATATGGGTAGTGGTGACGTGTGCGCTTTTTATTGGAGGGAGTTTTTTTCCCTCCACACTTTGCCCCAAATTTCATTTTTAATTGAGCGACGGCTCCTATTAAAGAGGGAATTGAAACCGGTTTTTTACTTTGCTTCAGAAACGGTTCGAGGTCTTTCATTATTACTCCGTCATACAAGATTTTGCAAGAGTTACATTTGCCCTTGCTGCACTTTTGCGTTCTTCATTCCACCTCCGGCGAGGGAATTGAGGAGGATGAGTTGCTTCTTTCGGTAGGGCATCTTAACGCCCTCCGATTCCCTCTTCATCCCTTCTATCATTTAGTTTTCAATAAGCTGGGTCTTGCCCCCCTTCAAGTAAATCCTAATTTCTTTCGCATCCTTTCGGCACTGTTGGTGCGCCGGAAATTAGAGGCTCTGGATTTGACCCTTGCCGACCTTCTGCTTACTTACAATATATCTAAGCATGGGACCGAGCCTGGTCGCTTCTTTTTTACCTCTCCCCTTCATCAGAGGATATGCACGAACCTTCCTTCATCCGAAAAGAAGTGGAAAGAAATGATGGTTATAGTTAAAGGAAAATGGTTCGTGCCCCAATCAATTACGCTCCCCATCCCGTGCAAGTTCGGGAAATTAGGTATAGAATACTTAACCTCCCTTCACACCAAGTGTTCTGGCTGTTTTCCTTGCCAAGTCTTAATGTTTCGCCGTACTTATGAGTTTCTTAGTGTTTTTTCAGCTACATTCCCATCCTCCGCAGCAAGGAACAGACTTTCTTTTCTTGAGGAACGAGTCTGGAGTGACCCCTCGCCTATCGAGGACCTGCTAACTTCTTCAAACCTCAAGGATATTGCCTCCAGTGCTGTTGCTGCAGACCTAATGGATCTGTCTCTACCATCCTTTGACAGTTTCCTCATGACTGAGGAGGAGATACGGAGGGCTGAGGCTTTAAAAAAGAAAGCTGAGGATGTCCAACCCTTGGTTGTTATTAGATCAACTGAGGATGAGGTGGAGGTTGAGGAACCACCAATGAAGAAATCTCGCCTCAACCCCTCATCCTCTGGCAAGGGCAAAGTCCCTTCTAAGAGCAGAGGGAAAAAGGCTGGAGAGGCCGAACCTGAAGATGAAGTCAGGGCCTTTGTTCTGGCTGAGACTGGAGCTCCTTGGACTCCTTCCTTCACCAGGGCTGACAGATCAGTCTTGTACTCAGGGGATTCTGTGATTACAGACCCTTCAGCTGCACTGGCGGTGGCTCGAGGAATGTGGCTCCCAAAGGACGAGGAAGCTATCAGCCAAATGGGGTTGGAACAACTACTCCCCTCTGCCCCGGTCCGGGCCATAGAGGTTCGCATTGTTCCTTCAGAATTATGTTACTCTTGCTTGCTTATGTTTCTACTTATGCTTATATTTGCTCCCCTGTTAAACAGAGTCTATACCACACCATGGCCCTCTGCGCCACTGCTGAAACTCAATCCCTCTCCATCAAGAAGCTGGAAAAGGATCTTGACAATGCAGAGAAGAGAGCCACTACTGCCTCTACCAATCTGAATATAGCTTCTGAAGCCAAGGATGCGTATAAGAGGCAGTTGTCAGCCTCTGAGGCTAAGGTGGATTCTCTTCAGGCCGAAGTTCAACGCCTGACCGAGGCTCTTACTACTTGCTTCAAGGCGGGGAAGCAAATGCAGGGGCGCTACTCCTGTCTGGCACACCTGGCTAGTGCTAAAG